GATTCCAGAGTGGAAGTGGGAACACATCACCATGGACTTCGTATCGGGACTACCCAAGGCACGATCGGGACATGATGCTATATGGGTAATTGTTGATCGACTCACTAAGTCTTCCCACTTCCTGGCCATCAGAATGACTAATCCTTTGGACAAGTTGGCAAGAATGTATATCCGGGAGGTAGTCAGACTGCATGGAGTTCCAGTAACAGTGGTATCCGACAGGGATCCCAGATTCACTTCTCGGTTTTGGAATAGTTTCCAGTAAGCTATGGGAACAAAGCTGTCTCTTAGTACTGCCTTCCACCCCCAAACCGATGGACAATCAGAGAGGACAATTCGTACGCTGGAGGATATGCTCCGAGCTTGTGTCCTTGACTCCGGGGACCATAGGGACGACCACCTACCCCTGATAGAGTTTGCTTACAACAACAGTTACCAAGCAAGCATCGGCATGGCCCCATACGAGGCGCTATACGGGCGTCCGTGCAGGTCACCGATATGTTGGGAGGAAGTGGGCGATAGAAGATAGTTTGGCCCAAATTTGGTAGAAGAAACCACGTCCAAGATAGTTAAGATCAAGAAGAACATCCAAACAGCTCAGAGTAGGCAAAAGAGTTATGCTGATACCCGGAGGAGAGACCTGGCCTTTGAGAAAGGCGACCGGGTGTTTCTTAAAGTCACCCCCTTCAAGGGAATTAGCAGGTTCGGTAGGAGGGGAAAATTAAACTCCAGATATATTGGACCCTTTGAAATTTTAGACAAAATTGGTACCACTGCCTACCGATTTGCACTGCCTCCTGAGCTCTCCCGGGTTCATAATGTGTTTCATGTATCTATGCTACGTAAGTACAATCCGGACTCTTCTCATGTCTTGGCTCACGAACCGCTTCCACTCCGAGAAGACTTGTCTTATGAAGAAGTACCGGTCAGTATCACGGACCGAGAAAGCAGAATACTCCGCAACCGGGAAATATCATTTGTAAAAGTCATGTGGCAGAACCACACGCCCAGGGAGGCGACTTGGGAACTGGAATCAGAATTTAGGGCTCAGTATCCCCATCTGTTTGATCAAGAGTAATGAGGCAAATTTGGGGACCAAATTTCTTTATGGGGGGGAGAGTTGTAGCGCCCGGACCGAGAAGGAGGAGGAAAAAAAAAAAAAGGGCCACGTCGGCAGCCACGTCAGCAGGCCCGGTCAGCAGTCCCGGCCAACCGGGGCCTGCCAGGTGGCAAGACCACGTCGCTCCAAAAAGAGGCCACGTTGGCGATCCGCGTGGGTGCGATCGGACGGCCCAGGATCAAGCGTGCGATCGGACGGCCCAGATGCAATCGCACGGACGGGCCCAGATTAAATAAAAAACGGACGGCCCAGATTAAATCAAAATGGACGGCTGAGATCAAAAGAAAAAAAAGGGTATAAATAAGACCCCCACACCAGACCACAAAACCCTAGCCGCCTGCCCTCGCCGGAGAAGACGAACCAGAAGCCGGCCGCCGCCACCCGCCGCCGCACCGGAGGGATTTTCGACCGCCGATCGAGGTAAATTTCATACCCCCGACTCGTTTTTCCATGCTGATTTCCCCTGTGGCCAAATCGGAGCCAAAATCCCGGCCAAACGGCCGGAAAACACTGCCGAAGCCCAGCGGCGCCGCCGCGCCCCTCCTCAATTTTTACCTCCGATGAGGCCCTTCCCGACCTCTGTTTAATGCAATTTTTATATCACCGTGATCACCATTCTTTTCTCTACAGGTTGATCGGAGCCGAGTCATCAAAACACGAACTTCACCAGAGAGCCGTCGCACCCGAGAGCACCGCTGCCGGTAAGCTTCGGTTTTTCGTAATTTTTTGGCCCCCCGAGGGCCCTAGAGTTGTTTAATCGCAAGGATCGATGCAAGTGTGGCCGAATTCTGCCGGAAACGGCCGAAACGGCCAAACCGAGGCGAATCGCCGCCGCTTGCGGCGGCGCCGTCGTCGGAGCACGGCAGAGCCGCCGTGCCGGAAATGCGATATTGGTCGAAAGGGGCCCCGGACCTAATTTGGGATTTTTTGGAACACGTGCAGGTACCAGTAGTGCGTTTCAGTTCCCCAAAAAAAATTCAGGGAAAATTAGGGACAGCCTGTAGGCGCACTGTGAAGCCGTGTTCGGACCCCGAAACGTGTAAGGACCCCTCACCCTATTTCCTATCACGGTATTAAAGTTCAATAAATGATAAAACGGTATTTCATGAATCAACGAATGTGTGAAATTGCTTAAGGTTGCTAATGGAGCCCGAGTCTAGTGTGTTTGTCGGTTAACTGTTATTTGGCCTGTTTTACAGTTTTAAATGCAGCATGAGGTTCGATGTTTTCATTTTATAGTTTCGTGTGCATATTTTACTGTTTTATTAATTATGGATTGAATGACTGGGATATTGATGCTGTATGTTGTCTGTTTGGCATAAATTATCGTTTTGCTTGTTTGTATGTGATTGATAATGCTGACTGAGGAAAAAAGAGAATGAAAGATTATATAAATGAAAATTGTATAATGTGGTCAGCCTGACTAGATATCCTGGGAGATGGTGGACGGACCGGGTCCGTAGGGAACCCTACCGGGATTGTGGTCTCCCATACCGGACGGGGTATGGAGATCTTATGTGTTTTGGCGCCCATACCAGACGGGGTATGGGGACGGCCCGTTTCACCCTCATACCGGACGGGGTAATGAGGTCTATGGTTTGGCACCCATACCGGACAGGGTATGGGGACGGCCTTGGAATATGATTTCAAGTGTTAAGGGTTAACGGGTAGCGGGACCCCTATGGATCCCCATGGATACTAGTGGGCTGGTAAATGAGGAAAATATGTTGTGTAACGATTGAATTACGAAAGGCTTGATAAGTATTATGTTATACAGTTTATATATGATTTAATGATGATGATGATGTTATTGCTTTCGTATATTATTTTTATGAAATTCACCGAGGTAAGTGAATAGTAAAGGTTTTATTATTGATAAAAGGATTTGTTGTAAATTATGCTCCATTGGTCTTTTTGTGTTTTCTACCCACCTTTACCTCCGTGACGGTGAGATATCGTGATGTCTTTACTGGGCTAGTGTAGCTCATTCCTTATTTAATCATTTCAGATCAGGAAGACATTGTTCCCGAGCCGGTCCCGCAGGAGGACGACGAAGAGGACGCCTAAAGACTCCATAGTCATATTCGTAGCTTTTACTTTCAAGTTTCTCCTTTAAGTAGTTTGATCTTTTATATTGTGAGCACGTTTTTGGTTTTAGTGTAAGGGATGTTAATCGAATTTTTGACTTCGCTTCCGGATTGATATTTTTAATATACATTTTATTTTGAATTTCCGGAGCCGTTACATCTCATGCATGTACTTATGAGCAATTTACAGATATATTGACCAAAGGACTTAGTAGACACTAATTTGAACATTTCTTGCACAAGTTGGGCATTTTTAATCTTCATACATGAACTTGAGGAGAAGTATTGAGGGATTAGAATTAAGGAGATCTTATTGTAATAGGCTTTGACTATTCTATATATATGTATTCATCTGTATGAAAAAGACATGAAATTTTTTTCTTAAATTGACATAAACAGGATCTATATAGACACATAGATCCATAGATCCATACGCCTCGATTAGAAAATAATCAGTAAAAAAAGAAAATTTCAAAATTGGCTATATCTCAAAACAAACAAAAGGAAAACAAAAAGTGAAACATAAATCACAGGTCAACTAAGCCCTTTCGAAGAATTTCTTAAGAATAAGAATGAGAAATCTCATGTAAATACCATAGAATAAGGTTTGATCTTATTCATAGAGATTCCGTAAATATTCTACTCCAAAAATGTAAAATTCAAAATAATTATAATTTTTTAGATATTGGATGCAATTACGAATTCATGATCTGACATATATAATCAATATTTTAAGTTTATATTGTATAATCATTTACAATTAATATTATAAACTTAAGTTTATATAGAGATTAAATAATGTGGTATTAATAAATATCTTGGCTTAAAAAAAAAAAAATTAGTTCTAGCATACAAAAATTAATTTGATAATATTCTTACTGCTAAAAGTGGTAATTATAATGTACTTTTTAAGTATATGTTTGGGAGAGCACCAAAAACTGAGAAGGAAAAATATTTTCTCATACTTTTAGAGTAGGTTATTCATAAATCAAAGATTGTCAAATAAGTTATCAAAGTGAAAAATATTTGGATAAATACAAAGTTAGTCTCTAACATTTTCTATTTCATTTCAAATACCAAATTTCTCTTAATTTTTTAACAGAAAAAATTAAAATAATTAAATCATATTTAAATGTTTTAAAAATAATTTAAAATAATAATTTTAACTAATTATTTAGATTAATATATTAATAAATTAATGATAATAGTAGACTTATTTTGATGGTATTAATTTATTAATTTAATTAATCAATTCAAAATTATTTTTTAAAGTATTTAAATATGATCTAAAATTTTATTTTTTAATTAAAAAATAAAGTGAAATTAAATATTTGAAATAAATAGAAAAAGGACTAAATTATAACAAAAAATTTAGGGATTAAGTTGTAATAATTTAATAATTTGTCTTAAATTAAATGTAATAAAAATTTTAAAATTTTAATTAAAAATAATACATTTTAAATAACAATTTCTTTAGAATTGGACTGACCATCTTTTCCAATTATCCTTTGTCTTATATATATATATATATATATATATATATATGAGGGTGTGATATATATTTAGATTTTATATATTTAAGGCAGCATGAGTCTCTTTTTGGTCGGTCCATATCACACGAAAGCGGAAATGCACTTCAGTTAAAATTTAATTTTTTTTTAAAAAATCAATTATTTATATTAAAAAAAAAAAAAAAAACAGAAAGGGAAATTCAATTTGACTTTCCAAACACGAAAGCGGACTCGAACGTTATATAAGCTTCTGCTTCTCCGCCACTCTGAACTGACATCCTCCCTCCCTCTCTCTCAAAATAGCCCTATTGCTTTCTGATCAATTTTTCTCTATTGCTTTCTGATTTGCGCAATACTTCTCTTGCTTATCTGATTGATTCTTCTCGAGTGCTCGGCGATCTTAGAAATAAACGCCTTAGACATTGTTCTTCTCAGGTTTGCTTCTTCTTTGCATACTGTCTCTCCAATTAAACCTTGTTATCTTTTCGCTTAGGGTTTCTGGTTCATCATTTTTATCTTGAACCGTTTATGTCTATCCAAGAAGATATAACCTCTCAGATAATGGTGATGGGATCTGTGTTGGATTGTGTTTATCCGCCATCAGTAACAGTTCTTTTAGGTTTCTTTTTGATATCTGAGGGTTTTTCCGATGAATCGGTCATTAAATAACGAGATGGAGAACCGAAAGCTCGGGTGTTGTTATGTCGGAACTTTCAAGATTTTCTAGTGGCTGCTTATGTTCGATTATAAGTGTCCTCTGATTGATCCTGTTTGTATTCCTGGTGTAAATGGAAAAGTGTATGTTTTCTTGGAATGGATGTCAGATGGATTGCTGATATAGCTTTTTTATTTTATGCGTTCTTGCGAGGAACGTCACATCTAGGAAAGAACGGTTCTTGGATTCAGTTTGACATGTATTTTTCATCTTTCTCTATAGTATGGACACCAAGATGGCAAGAGGCAGCAGAGATACAATCGGAAAGTCAGTTTATAGTGGGACTTCTACACAAGTTGTTCCCAGAAAATATCGAGTCTTGCCCAAGGATCAACCAAGGAATAAACCCTATAATGGCACTAGGAACTCAATAGTTTGGACTCCAGAGCAGTCTCATGTCTCATCTGAGAAGCGTCCAAGAAAAATGTTGAATTGTGACAGAAGGAATCCAGTGGATTCAAGTAACAGAGATGGTGAATTATCCGATAGTAATGCTCCAAAGACTCAAGGAAGGGTCTGTAAATTCTGGGTCTCTGACAAATGCCTGAAGGGCGATAAATGCAACTTTCTGCACTCATGGTTTCATGGAGAAGGATTTGCAATGTTGGCCACTCTTGAAGGGCACAAAAAGGTATTTCCTTAGGCCTAATTGTTTCCTTGTATTGTATACCCTGTCTTCTTGACTTGTATAAACATGTAAGTAGATCAAAAGAGCTGGATATAACTTCATGCTCCTTGTTAATTGACCTTGAATTGACTCACTGGAGCTTCTATCTTGTATAAACAGAGATTAAGTGTTTCTAGAAACAGTGTTGTGAAGTTTTGTCATTCATTGATGTTTGTTCTTCTACTTTTCATTAGCCTTTTCGAGTCATTATTTGATTGTGGAAGCTCCATTGTGATTAGGTTATCAAGGGGATTGCTCTTCCTTCTGGCTCTGAAAAGCTCTATTCAGCCAGTAAGGATGGTACTGCACAGGTTTGGGACTGCCATACTGGTCAATGTATTCAAGTGATTAATCTTGGTGCTGAGGTTGGTTCCTTAATCAGTGAGGGGCCATGGGTTTTTATTGGCATTCCGAATGTTGTCAAGGTTGGTTATGTCATTATCCTATTGTCATTATTAATTACTGTTTGAGATTGTGTTATAGTTGCAATCTCGCTTTGTATCTTCTAGTGTCGAGTTCATGGGCCTTGCTGGTAATTTTTGTAGGCCTGGAACATTCAGACAGGTGCAGAATTCAATCTGGAAGGACCAGTAGGTCAAGTTAATGCTATGGTTGTTGGCGACAACATGCTTTTGGCAGGGGCGCAGGTAAATGCTTCATTTGCAATATGGAATTCCTTTTAACTTGTGTCACTAGGCTTAAGCTACTTTGCTGGGTTGGAAAATAAATTCTGAAAGTTGGATAGTTCTAATTGTTTGAGCAAATGCATCTAACTGATGTATTGTGGGGTTTCAAGAATTTAAGTCCATCGCTGGACAGAGCCATTTTGGCAGGTTTTCATGACTCTGATTATATCTTTAAGATTAGTTACTTAAAATTTGCTCTCATTGGTGTTGCAGGATGGAACTATTTTGGTCTGGAAAGGCAATACTGAAACTGATCCATTTCAAAAAGTCGCTTGCTTGAAAGGCCACACTAGCCCTGTGGTATGTTTATGTATTGGAAGGGGAAGGCTATACTCAGGATCAATTGCTGGTACAATAAGGGTATGTTGTTGATATTAAGAAAATTGCCTGCTACTAATTTTCGTGTCAACATACAACTTCTTCATACAAAGTATCCTGTATATCTTTCTTTTTCTTTTTTCATTATGTTTATTATCTTAATTTCATTGGTTATTTCTGTCATATACTCTGCAAGATAGGTCATTTTCCATGGTAACTCTTTCCTATGAGTATCAAATAAACTCTGCCCCCTTGTCTTTCGAAATTTGATTTAAGCCGGAAGAGATGAAATTCAATATTAGAATATTCAAACTTATAAGTAGTATACCAACTAAGGAATACAATTAGCTGATAACGTTAAGGTTGATATTTTAAACAAATGGTTTCATATTCTTGGTTCCATTGTAGTAGAATATAGCATCACCCATTATGATGATTCAAGGTCAGTTGTAAATATGTTAATTAACTTGTAAATTTTTTTGTTCATGGGTTGGCGCTCCCATTTCAATATATTTCTACATTTTTATCTTTAAAAAAAAATGTTAAGGTTGAGTTTTTTTTTTTTTTTTTTTTAAATTTCAACTATCTAAGATATGAGTGGGAACATAATATAAATAAAATAGAAACTTGAGAGAAAATATTGTTCCAATTACAAATTAATTCTATATTTAATTTATGTGTTTTGTTATTACTTCCTTAATATGTGAGAATAAAAATCTATAATTTTCATATTGAAATAAGAATTTAATTGATTAATCTATGCTTTAAATATGTAAATTATGATTTAACTTTTAGATGTCAAAGAAACTTAGAATGTAGGAATTGAAAGGAAATAAAACAAGGTTGAACTAGATCCCGTTAACTTTCTGAACGGTGAATAACTTTGGTATTGATTATTGTTCTCTTCTATTCTTTAATTCTTGTCATCTTGCGGACTACGATTTGTATTTGTGTTGTTTTACATGACAATTTTTTTCTAGTATCAATATATGGCCTCCATTTTGTTGTCTTTGCTAATCTGACTAATAAGTGACCTTCGCACAAATTATTCGATTTCATGTGATAATATTTTCTCGATATGCAGAAAGATTATTTACCATTTCCTTTTAAATATAAAACCAGGTTTGGGACCTTAACACACTGCAGCTTGTTACATCATTGAAAGGGCATAAAGAGGCAGTTACATCTCTTCTTTGTTGGGATCAGTTTTTGTTATCATGCTCATTGGATCGAACTTTAAAATTCTGGGGTACATCTGAAAAAGATGTCTTGAAAGTATTCTATACGCACACTGAGCAACAGGTATCATTTATTTCCAGCATTTTCTCCTGATACTGTGCTAATTTCCTGATGCTATTTTGCCGGGGGTGTCACAGGTTGTGGACTAGGACCTGGACAAGGTTCCTTTGCATTTTGCTTTTTCGTTTATCCATCATGTGTTTATGTTTTTTTTTTTTTTGGTGTGGCTGTCGTGTTAGTAATAAGATCCTGGTTGCGTTCTGAATTTTCTTCATTTCCCAAATTCCACATCTGGCACTTTAGTGATGGTTATATAATAATAAAAGTTCACTGAATATTTGGATGAAAGTTGGCTGATCATGGGCTGTATATAGATTTAGAAATGTTTTTATTTCTTTATTCTCACAGTTTACCTGCTGCTGCTGCTGCTTCAGAATCTTCTGTTTGTCTGCTTAGTCGCTATCTTTCCACTTGTGTTCGCATCTCTTCTTGTTATTCACTATGTCCATTTATTAGTGTTGCTGCTACTCGAAATCTTTTTGGGAAAAAAAAGTGGGATGAGAGTAGGAACTATATAAAATTTAAATTCTGATATAGTAGCTATTTGTTTATCTTCACATGGATTAGCTAAGTTGTACATTTTTCGTCTCTGAAGGCTAATTTGCATGTCTTGCTCAAGACTTTTGACGGTGATATTTTGGAATTAGAAATAATTTTGTTTGGACCAGGGTATACTTTCGCTCTGTGGGATTACTGGTGTGGAAGACAAACCAATTTTGTTTTGCTCTTCTAATGACAACATTGTACATCTATACGACTTGCCATTGTAAGTATCAGTTAATTCTTGTGCATTATGTGTGTAACAGAATCTTTCTTGTGTAACATTTATAGCCATATTGAATAGATTCACGGAGCAAGCATGAAGTTTGCATAATTGAGATTGGGCCAGGAGGCCTCTTTTTCACGGGGGACGGAAGTAGCAGGTTGACCGTCTGGAACCTTTCATCCCAATTGGGATCGTGAAGGAGACATTAGTGAAATGTATAGGGACAATGTCCTTAGATAATATGGTTTTGGCTGTACATAAAAATTTTGTACCGATCGTTATCTGTATGTATATAATTACAAGTTATTCATTTATTTGTGCATTAGTTTAGCAACTTAATTACCAATTACGTTTAGTTTCAACTTATATTGATGCATCAGTTTCATTGCAAATTCAAGTTTTCAACATCTCCAATTATGTTTTTGCTGTATATTTCGTGAATTAGATTATGCTCTATTGAAATTGTGATTTACGCTCTTATTTTTATTTATTCGTTTTGTTAGTAATCTATAAATTCTTATAAAAAATTTATTTGAACTTGACTGAGACTATGGATATAATTTATTATACATTTTAATATGTAAAATTATAATATTTATATATTAAAATATTTTAATATATTTTTTAATAGACTCAAAATAAGTTAACAACTAATTAAAAAAAATAACTATTAAAAGATTTAATATTTTTATATTATAAAAGAATTTCCATTGTAAAACTTAAAATTTAATTAATCATAGAAATATATCATATGTCATGATATTCTAAATGGAGATTGTCATCATAAAAACGAAAAAAATATTTGATTTTACTTTTAATTTTTGAAAAATATTCAAATCGCATCATAATTTTTTTTTGTTGAATCAAACATCATCTTTTAAAAATATGCAAATCACTTACTAGTAAGAAAAATTAATTTGTTAAATATTAATATATGTCAACGATTAAATTATGTATTTTAATCAATGTGAACGTTACATATACATGTTGTTCGCATGGATCCATATAAAAAAAAACTACATATCTGCCCTAGAAACCAAAATCCGAAACTTCAATCTTTCGCCTTGCGAAATCAATCCTCCATCACCATTCCCAGATCTTCGACCTGTGGATTTCTTGTAACGGCCCCGTAAATTTAAATAAAATATATATATTAAAAATGTCAAATGCAGAAGCGTAATAAAAATTTTGATTAGCATCCCTTACGCGGTAACTAAAACTTACTCAAAACATGAAAGAACAAACTAACTAAAAGAGATACTCGAAATAAGAACTATAAATATAGTTATGGAGTCTTTAGGCGTCCCCTTCGTCGTCTTCCTGTGGAACGGGCTCGAGAACAATGTCTTCCTGATATGAAATAGTTAAATAAGGAATGAGCTACACCAGCTCAGTAAAGGCATCACACTATCTCACCGCCACGGAAGTAAAAGTGGGTAGAAAACAAAATGACCAATGGAGCATAATTTATAACAAATTCTTTTATCAATAATAAAATTCTTTACTGTCCACTTACCTCAGCGAGATCCATGAAAACAACATATGAAAATAATAACCTTACAATATTATAAAATCATATACACTTTATAACACAACATATATCACACCTTTACATTTCAATCATTAGGAAACAGATTTCCTCTTTTACCAGCCTACTAGTATCCCTGGGGATCCATAGGGGGTCCCCTCTACACGTGAACCATTAACATTTATAATCTGGTTCCAGGGCCGTCCCCATACCCCGTCCGGTATGGGCGCAAAAACCATGAACCTCAATACCACGTCCGGTATGAGGGTAAAACGGACCGTCCCCATACCCCGTCCGGTATGGGCATCAAAACACATAAGGTCTCCATACCCCGTCCGGTATGAGAGACCACGTTCCCGGTAGGGTTCCCTACGGACCCGGTCCGTCCACCGCCGCAGTATGAATCGGTGCCCCAGCCACCGTACTGCCCGGCACCGCCACAGTACAATCCGGTGCCCCCACCATTTCAGTAGGTGCCACCACAGGGCCCCAATTGGTCTGCATTCTGAAACAATCAAATGGGCTAAGATACCTGCACTTTTCCTGCTGAGGGCATCTGCTACCACGTTGCTCTTACCCGGATGGTATAAGATGTCACAATCATAGTCCTTAAGGAGTTCCATCCACCTTCTCTGACGCATGTTGAGATCCTTCTGAGTGAATATGTGTTTCAAACTCTTGTGATCGGTATAAATCTGAAAGGTCTCTCCGTCCAAATAATGGCGCTAGGTTTTTAAGGCATGAATGATTGCGGCAAGCTCCAAGTCACGGGTGGGATAGTTTTTCTCATGATTCTTTAACTGTCTGAACCCGCTCCTTCCTTGATCGACCCGGGTTACATAGAGAGGTACAGGAGACTGAATCCTTCCACCTTTGCAGAGGGATCCTCTTTTGAAGAGGCCCAATACTGGCTGAGGGAGACTAAGAGAGCTTTCAGGATCTTGGGAGTAGTTCCTGAGCAGAGAGCTTCCCTTGCTTCCTTCATGCTGGTAGGGGAAGCAGGACGTTGGTGGGAGCTCAAGCAGACCACCCTGCCTACACCAATCACTTGGGAGCAGTTTCTAGCGGCCTTCCATGCGGAGTATCTCCCTGAGCACATCCGACACCTAAAGGAAACGGAGTTTGTTCAACTGGTTCAGGGAAACATAACAGTATCAGAGTATGCTCGTAAGTTCTTAGAGCTGAGCCAATACTCCCCGGAGACATTGATGGATGAGGGCCGAAAAGCCAGGAGATTCCAGTCGGGTCTCCGCCCAGAGATCAGGCAACACCTGGTAGTACTGGAGCTCAAGACATATTCAGCAGTCCTAGCAAAGGCACAGATCGTAGAAAGAAGCTTCAGCACCCGTCCTCAGCCAGGAGGGAGTTCACGACCCTCAGCTTCGTTCCGCAGGCCAGCACCTACTGCGCCTGCCCAACCAAATAAAAGGCCCAGACCAGCCATCCGGGCCCCTCCTCACGCTCCAGGGGCAGCACGTGGGAAGATCTGTCAGCACTGCGGCAGAGATCACGGGGATCAACCCTGCTATCGCCTCAACAACACTTGTCGCATTTGTGGCAGTGCCCAGCATTATGCCAGAGAATGCCCGAGGAACCAGAATCAAGGGAGGCCTCTTATCCAGGGTAGAGCTTACAACCTTATCCAGCAGGATGCTGACGCTGACCCAGATGTAGTACAGGGTATGTATACTATATGTGACCATATTGCTCATGTTTTATTTGACACTGGTGCATCGCACTCTTTTGTTTCACATGCTTTTGCTTTCAAAATTAATGTATCACCTGATAAACTTGAATCATTATTGTTTGTGTCTACTGCCGGGGGTGAAACACTACTAGGGGAAGCTATCTATAGGGCTTGTACCGTAGAGATAGCAAATAGAAAACTGAGGGTAGACCTGATAGGGTTAGACACAAGGGATTTTGATGTAATCTTAGGAATGGATTGGCTAGCGGCATATCACGCCACCATAGATTGCTTTAACAAGAAAGTTGTATTTAATCCTCCTAACGATGAGCCATTTATAAATTAATAAAATTATTCAGTACGTATTCCTTGATGGCAAGTTTTCTTAACTTCTAGTGCCTTAATCTTGTTGTTTTCTCTAACTAGGCAAGTCCAAGAAGGAATTTATATTCAAGAGATTCCGGTAGTTCGAGACTTCCTAGATGTGTTTTTGGACGAACTGCCCGGTCTGCCAGTGGACAGAGAAGTTGAGTTCACTATAGACCTACAGTCAGGTACCCAGCCCATTTCAGTTGCTCCTTACCGCATGAGCCGCATTGAGATGGAAGAGCTGAGGAAACAGATCACTGAATTGCAAGACAGTGGTTTTATTAGACACAGTGTGTCCCCTTGGGGTACTGGAGTCACTTTTGCAAGGAAGGGAGATGGAACGTTGAGACTGTGCATTGATTACAGAGGATTGAACAAGGTCACGATCAAAAATAAGTATCCCCTTCCCCAGATTGATAACCTCTTTGATCAGCTGCAGGGTGCACAGGTCTTCTCTAAAATAGACTTTACGATCAAGTTACCATCAGTAAAAGATAAGAACAGAAGACATTCCCAAAGACGGCCTTCCGAACTAGTACGGACACTATGAGTTCCTAGTCATGCCATTCGGGCTAACCAATGCCCCGACAATCTTTATGGATTTGATGAACAGGGTCTTCAGAGAGTTCTGGGATCAATTTGTTATGTATTCATCGATGATATCTAGTATACTCAAAAAGTAGAGAAGAACATGCTCACCATCTGGCCCAAGTATTGCAGGTCCTCAGAAACAAGAGGTTATATGCGAAGTTGAGTAAGTGTGGATTCTGGCTTGAGCAGACCGCCTTCTTAGGACACATCATATCGAAGGAAGGGGTATCAGTGAATCCTGAAAAGGTTAAAGCGGTACTTGGCTGGGAGAAGCTGACATCAGTTAAGGAAATTCGTAGTTTCCTGGGAATGGCAGGTTATTACTGCAGGTTCGTTGAAGGATTCTCCTGTCTAGCAGCTCCTCTAACCCGACTCACAAAGAAGAATGCCAAGTTTGAGTGGAATAAAGACTGCGAAAGAAGTTTTTCAGAATTAAAGAAGCGGCTGACCACTGCACCCGTGGTAGCCTTACCGAGTGGATCGGGAGGATATACAGTTTATAGTGATGCCTCCTATCTGGGCATGAGTTGTGTCCTGATGCAGCATGAAAAGGTTATAGCATACGGGTCCAGACAATTAAAGAATCATGAGAAGAACTATCCCACCCATGACTTGGAGCTTGCCGCAATCATTCATGCCTTGAAAACCTGGCGCCATTATTTGTACGGAGAGACCTTTCAGATCTATACCGATCACAAGAGTTTGAAACACATATTCACTCAGAAGGATCTCAACATGCGTCAGAGAAGGTTGATGGAACTCCTTAAGGACTATGATTGTGACATCTTATACCATCCGGGTAAGGGCAACGTGGTAGCAGATGCCCTCAGTAGGAAAGGTGCAGGTATCTTAGCCCATTTAATGGTTTCAGAATGCAGATCAATTGGGGCCACGCAACAGGTTCGACTTCATGATCTGAAGAGAGTCACATGTTTGGGCCGCCTGGCAGTCCAGTCCGAGTTAATCCAGAGAATAAGGGAAGCCCAGACAGTTGACCCCGCCCTGGTAGCCCGTAGGAAGGATGCAGAACAGGGAGGGAGCTCAGAATTCTGAATCTCTGCTGATGGATTACTTTGTTTCCAAGACAGGGTGTGTGTCCCAGATGACAGTGAGTTAAAAAGGGACATCATGATGGAGTCCCACAGCTCGAAGTTTGCCATGCAT